GGGGGCTTATACAAATCTTATAAATGTAATTTTTACTAATTTTTCCATAGTGTTACATGTTTAATTGCAAATTTTTAAAATTAAACCTGTGAAAGAGGGTACAGGTTGATAATTTGCAATTTTTTTCGGTACTTTTTATGGTATTTAAAGTATTTTTTTGATGCTTACATAATATCTGTCAAAAGAACCTATTTGTAATGAAGTTCCTGAAGGGACATTATTTATGTTGTATTGTATCAAAACATATTACTTATAACGTTGTAGTTATCAAATATTAGAATATTTATTGAAACCACACCTAACTAACGTAGGTATACTTATCCCAATGATAATTGCACCATTTTCGTACACAATATCATTTCATGGAAAGTATACTTCTATTTATAACTATACTGTCTTCCATATAATTTTATAGAAGTATAATTTCTTACTTAGGTACCCAAGCACCCACTGTCCACTGGTTTTTATTAAACTATATAACCACTACAAATTTGTCATTGATTACTATAAGTAAGAATAAAACCATTTATGCAACTCAATTGTAACACTAACAAGTATTTATTATCTTCGGCCAGTTGCTTCTTTGTCATCATAAATGATAATCAAGTCCAGAAACTGTTATTTTGGAGCGTGAATATTTATTATTACCATTCATATTAAATTGTAACATGTCAAGCTTGCCTTACTTTCAACTTTTATTAAAGATCATTTTTATGGAGATATCACATTTTTCAGAGCAAAAAAGTAATTTGAAATATGCAGTGTATATAAGTAAGTTACATTTTTCTTTTACATTTGCCTAAAAGTAATTATATACGCTAAAATAAAATATATGGTAAGGAAACTTTTGTAAATACGACTCGAATTGTTTGAATTACTTTGAACACAATACATGTAAAAAGGTTTTAGGGCAGAATTATGCCAGATATTTAGTTATTGATTAAATAATGCAAGTCTACGGGATTTTTCTTTAAGGTTGGCTTATAATATTTCTTAGGAGCGTTTTATTGCAGCATTAGCTACAACAATTTGTCCGTTATTGTATTAGTAACTGATTAGTGCTGGGTAAGTTATCCAAGACCTTTTTTTTTGTGTAGTTATAGTGCAAAAAATTCTGGAAATTCCAATTAAAAAATTTGATTTTATGAATTAGCTTATTTTAGTTATTATAGTATTAAGTTTTGCAACATTAATAAATTTTCATTTTTTAAAATTAAAATTCCCTTAAACTGGAAAAACTATGCCTTTGCTGTTTCTTCAACCATATTCAACAATTTATGTAACTTAAAAAGTGACATTAGAAAACAATAATTAATTTAAACATTCATTAAGCTGCCTCGATTCTCACGTTATAGCTAGATCAAACTTTTGAAATTAATTCATTTACGGTGTTTTAGTTTTTGTACATTAAATCCCACTATGAAACATAAAGCTTGGCATTTTTTAATTATTTAATGACCTTGCGAGTCACATGTTGTACCATTTAAAGCTTTCATTTTTTATTGCCGATATTTACAGTTAATACAAATAGTTGTTGTATAACATTAAAAAAAAGCACATTGTGATCTTACAATCTCAATACGTAAACGTAAAATGTTAATCTTAGTTTGCAATCAATGTAATGCTGTATTTTATACTATGACAAGTATTTCTGCTAGAGTATCGTTATAACTCTTATCAAAAAAGGGAAGGAAATCTCAAATTTTTAGTGACAAATATTATAAAATTTCTTTGTAATTGTTTTTTAAAGCCTTTTTAATTAGAGCTCTGATAAAGTCAAGAATAATAATCTGATTTCAAGTTGGGTCGGTTTCAAATAATTTTTGTAGACATCGACTCGGATAAATTTTTTCCATTTGAAGCCTAAACCTCAATCACCTGTATTTTCTGATGGATCACAGATTTAAAACTTAATAAGTACTTGAATTTAAGATTTTTAAGGTACTGTAAGTGCCTTTATAGATAATTATTAGAGCTGCGTACAAGAGCGAGTGCCTTGTTGTCTTTAACTCAGTTAAAGTAGTTTGTATGACAGCTGCAGCACCAGGACTGCTTACTCACCAACAATGCTTAGACTGATATTTTTAAGCTGCCCTTGATTCTTTAACATATATTACGTA